GGACAGCATCGCCGTCCGGAAGGCCATTGCTTTCTCAACGATCGGTGAACAGATCCAATAATCTGTTCGAAAATTTAATGTCCAATAACCTGTTCAAGAAATTCAGTTCTGCTTAGGCACTCAAAAAAGACCACCGGTCAAACCTCGTCTTCAAATGCCTCGGAAGTTGACATACTCAACAAACTTAGGCCTGCTTAGAAAGCCACGGTAGCGAGGCCCACGAGTGCAACCGCAGAGAGGGTGACAGCGGCAACAGCGCCACTGGCTCCCACGGAATAAGTGTACTGCAAGTAAGCCAGTGTATCCCCGACTGTTGTGTCTACGCAGCTGCTCAAGTCGATGATGAGCTGTTTGGTTGTGTCCGCCTTGGTCAAATCTTCACTAGCGTAGATCAGACTGTTGTTAGTCTTGTCGTTCGCATCGGCCACGGGTTCGCCGATCGTGATAGTGGTAGTTTTAGCATCCGGGCATTCGTTGCTGGCGTCAGCTACGTATGCCACAGGCTTGCAACCTTCCTTCTTGGCAGCAGGAATGTTTGTAACCAGGAACTGCGTAGGAGAGAAATCCTTTTTAAGAGCGCCGGTCAAATCTGAGATCTCGTAGGGCTTCAGGTCACCGTAAACCAAAGTTCTCGTGTCGTGTTTACTAGCACACCCGGCAACACCTGTCGACTTGAAACCATCTCCAGTGTGAGTGTAGGTAAACGATGTCTTCTTTGTTATCAACCCCAAGATGCACTCCTGCAGATCGTCAACGCTCTTGCACGTGTCAGTACCACCAATCACGTCGGCCGTAGGCTCATAAGCGAGAGCGCCGGTAGCCAAGAGAGTAACAAACAACTTCATCCTTAAGCTTAGATCCTAATATCTTTGACATCCCCGCGAATTCTACGGATCCGTTCCGTCTCTGCCATCGAGCTGAATTTGGGGCTGAGCTGGTTGTGATCCGAGGGCTGAACGGGGTGCCAGGGTGTAGAGGGTTCACACCACAAAAAAATGATATATAACTCTTTCGAAGACCGACGAATACTGAACTACTAATCACGGCAAGTACCGGGAGAATGTCCACCGGGGCTGGGACTTACTTCCTTCACGTACTCAAGGCTAGCACGACTCTCCCACCAACGACTACGACAACGTAACTCCGCTCACTCACCCGTTCGCTCGCCCGCCCGTACCCCCTCAAACCTCTCCGGACGAGATTCGACCCAATCTGGGGACACTTCCGTAGGAACGCCGGGTGGGTCCCCACCTGGTGCCTGTGGCTTCGCCCTCGCCCAAGCACAAGCGCATATCTCAGAACCCGGGTGCCCCCTCCCCCCCCTGAGTACTGAATCAGAGACTGCTGTATCCTCACAATCAATAGGACTAGAAGTGACGGAATATTCTTAAACAGATATCATCATGTTAGCAAGTGTTATAACGGACCAACGCAACCGTGCAAATACATCAGACTATTGGTTAAAGGTTATCCTCAACGACCAACTCAAGTGAGAAGGTTTCGGAAACACGGACCAGTTCTGTCATCATCAATATCACCAGCCCCGTTGTTCCACTCTTCGTCTATCGGCCTTCGATGTGTGGAGTAAGATGATTCCATAAGAATTGGTGTTAACGTAGAATGACTTTTAAAATTCGTTGCCCACCAAAAAAACCGGTGGGGGGAAGTGTAGGCGACAAAACGTGTGTGTGCGACAGTTGCAGCAATTGGGGGCCGTTATTCTGGCTTTGGTGGGCCAATGAATTTTGGCCAATGTATTTTGGCGCCATGTCAATGTAGTCATGCCCAGGAAAAAAATGGGTAAAAATTATAGTCGACTTCTGACAAGCTTCTCGTACTGGTCGACCGGTACGGTGTCTGGCCTTTCGGCTCGGCGACCCGCCGCGATGGCTGAGGGGGACTGGGCGGGTGTGAGGTCGTATTCTTCTTCGTTTGCTGAAATTTGCTTGTAGCCTCTGTACGGTTTATTTCTCTGGTAGAAATACCAAGCAGCCCCGAGGATAGCCAACAACAACAAGAGACCCAGCACAATGCCCCCAATCAGAGGGCAACACTGCTTCTGACTTGCCTGAACTGTGAGTGGTTCCGTGGTAGTAGTGTGGCCGAAGCCCAGGATTCCCCTTAGGCCTTGCCCCGTCTGGGCCGCAGCGGGCGTCTTGCCAGCAGGCGCACGGGTGACCAAAGCTGTAGTTGTGCCCGCGGCAGCTAAGCCAACTTTTTGGTCCGCATTTTTCAGTTGTGTATAAAGACTAGTAGTGGTGGCGCCCCCTTGGTACTTTACCCCTTGGTTCTTGACCGTCGCCAACTGTGTGGTTGTCTCAAGGTTCTTGGTTTTGCGCTGAGACTCTGTGGCCAGGCCAGTCGTGGTATCGGCGCCGTTCTGGTCAAAACGGCGCCGACTCCCGTTGGCGGCTGCCGCGGGGCCTGCGCGGTTTTGACGCGCAGTCTGTAGAACGGTGTTTGTTGCTGTGGCTTGCGGGTGTGTCGTCACAAAAGAAGTGGTTGTGTCGAACCCTATATTTTTCACCGTAACCAATTCGGTACCAGTTCGTTGCAGAGCACCAAAGAGCCTCCTAGGAGGTAAAGAAGTAGTAGTGGTAGTAGGCCTCAAGGTCCAAGCCATCTTATTGTCACTAATTTTTTGATCACTGGAAAATCATCATGGATGAGGAGCGTCAAACGCTCATCCAGCCACGACGAGCGAAGCGAAGATCCTCATGTTTTGTGGTGGTGATCTTCTTACTAATTCTCCTCATGTACTCAGCCTACAACATAGTTATACTTGTCCCGGATATTCTCAGCGCAGGTAAGGCCAAAGACCAACAGGCCAAAAAACCAATAGACCAACAATTCGGATTCGTTTGTGTGCTGTAGAAAGAAGATGGGTGCCTGTCAGTGCCGGCATTGCGTTTCAAATATCGTTTGTGCTCTTCTTTATGTCGATAATGGCAGCAATGCGAACTGAACCAGGATCTGTGCCCCTCCACTGGGGCTTCTTTGTGGGCGAAGAAGTCCGGAGGAGACGGTATTGCAGGGTCTGTGAGGTCTGGAAACCCGATAGGACGCACCACTGTTCCCAGTGCGGCAGATGGTAAACATTTAGTCCCGAATATTTCATTCTCTCAGTGTGCTAAACATGGACCACCACTGTCCCTGGATCAACAATTGTGTTGGCTTCTATAATCGCAAATTCTTCATACAAACCCTCATTTATGCAAATGTATGCTTGATCATACTCATCGTACATAGGTAGGACTCCCAACACTCTCCCCCAAGTTCTTACCAATCACGCTGAACCACGGATACGAATCACGGATACGAATCACGGATACGAATCACTAATTTGTTGTATTGAAGCATCGTTCATTTAACAGACGCCGCACTGGAATTTAACCACTACCAGATAGCTGGCCCTATTGACTACGTCGATTGGGGATGCGGTATTGCAGTAAGTGGTTGGCTTCTTCACATTTATAGCATGTAGATGATTACGTTTACGGCCGTTTTATTGGCTGGTCTAATCCCGTTCACGAGGTTCCATTGGCATTTGCTGGTTGTCGTAAGTTCACACCTGGGTTAGTTGAAGCGCACGGGATGGCCTTTTATGCAGAATTCCACAACAATTGAGACTATGGACGTGGCCAACCGTACCGAAGATTCGCGGTATGATCTTGGCGCACTCAGGAATATTCAGCAGGTTTTCGGAGTGACGTCGTGGCTCTGGTGGCTTCCTATGCACGTGTACCTCTCTTGCCCGCAAGGAGATGGTGTTCGATGGCGAAGGCACTACTTGGCAACCGGTACAGAATCAGTATGAGAATAATGTGTCATCTATGAGTCTGTCGCTGCTAAGCGCTGTTTCGGTGGCATCAGTCGTAGGATTGATACCGATATCGTTCGCGCTATGCAGCGTTTGGGACTTTTGTGCAGGACAGACGACCCCGACTCCGGTAAGTAATACCCATCACCTCCCACACCCTACTAATTCTGTACCGCGCCCGGCTTCCATTGCATGTTCGCACCGTTCCAATGCACCCAAAACTGCTTGTGGCCCATGATTCATATTCTAGGGCATATAACTACTGCTGCTTCCTTTTTAGAGACTGTGTTGCTCTAATGGAATTTACGACGGTCCGGCAATTCGCATTTCCGAACCGTCACAAGGTCGGGCAGGCACCGTCCTAATATCCAGTCGAGCATTGGAGATGGTCGGGAATCAGCCAGGAGCAAGGAAGCCAATGTAACAACAAAATGTGCGCGCGTGTTTGTACCACGCGCGAGTTTCTACCGCGCGCGTGTTTGTATCGCACACGTGTTTGGATAAACTGGCGATAATGAAGCTTCCAAAACCCAATGTTGCTGACTGGCGTTACGAGCAATATCAAATGGAGCTCTTGAACTTCAGATGCTCGCGGGGAGTGAAGCAGAACACCAGGAAGCGGCCTTGCAATCAGGCGGCGGCTGTACAGACGAAATACTCTCGGCCACTCGAGGCAACACTGCTGTTAGCCTCCTTTCGGTCAGCGTGAAAGTCGCATTGCGCTGGAGTACCAAACGAAAGTGAAATAATAGAGCTAGCCCAGTGGCATTATTAGGGCAACCCCTGCAGCTATGACCCGGTTGCCTTTTTTACTCCCTTCAACGCCTTCTCCATGTCCACAGCATAAGGATCCTGCAGGAAAACCAAGAAATTTGACAGTGGTGGATGGGCGAAATTCGTGTCTAAATAAGTGCAGGTCTAAGCTTACAAGATCAAATCTTATTGGAGGCGCAGCGCAAGGCAGTTTGTACCCGAATACAGGCTCGAGCAGGTTGCGCACTTCGTCAAGGGAGTCTCCATCTGATCTTTTTCTTGCGAACTGTTGTGCGGGTGTTTCCTCGAGATGTTCTCTATCACCCACACGCTCTATATTACCTAGTCTATAAGTGATGTCATCTTCCTTTTTCGTTGAGCTGAATGGTTGAGGTACACCCGCGGTTTGGTAGGAAACCGGGGCTCCTCTTCCCACGCGTGGTCTAAACTCGGGAGTCGACCACGGATCAGGTCGGGAACTATCTTCAGCCGGCTTCGTAAGACATGCCAGCAAGCAAAGAGCCCTGACCTCGCCAGTAGGACTCTCCATATCAGCTTTCTCTAACAACTTCAAAAACTCTTCCGTTGAGCTTGCCAATGAGGGCCGGAAGCGCGCCGGACGAAGCTTCAACGGACCTGCCGTTCTCTGACATACCAGCTTAGCAACCGCGTAAGCCTGATGGCACTGGTTATGACACAACAGCAGCAGCGATATGTACGTTGATTCCAGATTCTGTAGCATCAAAGACACTTTAGGCATATCCACCCAACTGGTCAACTTGGTAACTACGCACATGCACCATTTATACAGACGAGAAGTGAATAGACGCTAAGCCGGTGCGTTAGTGTATGAGGTTGCTTACATTTGTGAGAAAGATATTGGCGAGCATCCTTGATCCGTTTGACGGTAGTTTCAAGAGTGAATCGTTCAGTGATTCGGTCAACCGCTTGTCTGTTTTGGAATAACAGATTGGATATGACCATGGGTTCAAGACTTTGAAGGATGGACAAGACGGTTTCTCTATGGGCATCAAGAAGATCTCGGACGAGGAGGAGGGCAAGGCTGAGTCTGCAGAGTTCCGAACTCATGAGTGGCGCCGACGTTGCGGACAGGTCGCCCAGGAGGCCCTCGAGACTGGGTGGAGGATTGGACCGTTGTTCGAGAGTCTGCCGCAGAACGATGTCTAGTTGTTCGAGAGTCATGACTTCGCCGATGTGGTCAAAGCACGCGTCAGCCAATGGGAAGCCGAAATCTTGAATGTTGGGCATCTGCGCGTTCTCGAAGTGCTGGTTCGCGTGCGCATACAACTCCTCCAGAGTCTCAATGGCTACCTTCACCTTTATCGCCCGTTGGTCGCCCCGCTTATCGGCGCCGCCATCGCTGCTACTGCCCCCTGTCACAGTGCTGGCCTCGCCCACATTGCTTTTGCACAGCATCAGGTCATCAAGTATCATGTTCAACAACTGTCTTTGCTCGGTCTGTCGCGACGAGTTCTCTCTCTGGTGCAAGCCTCCCCCCAGGGCCACAAGCGCAACAGTATCGCCGTCCTCCCCTGGGCCTTTGTCGGGACTGCTGAGCTCGACAACGTCTTTACTCAGACGGTGTGCGGCCAGGTCGCCGTTTCTGGCCAGACCACCGTCCTTACCAAGGCCGTCGGCCTTAGCAGAATCATGTCTAACCAAAACGGTTAGCAAACGCACTATCCTGTCAAATATGGAGGCAGCCTCCACAAAGTGCTTCTTCTTGACTAGACTCTTAGCCAGCAGCCAATAAACAAATATCCCAAGTTCTAAACGGCCCACTATCGTCAAACATCCCAGTATTTTCTCATCGTCCAACAATTTCTTACATAAACCGTATCCCCTATAGTATTGCCGGGCAACCAAGCTCCTCATGCTGTAGTTATTCCGGAAAGTCGGGTCAGAGATCAGACGCCTCTCCATCTCATAACTCCGCTGCACCTTCCTCTGGGCGACCGAAGTGACGTAGTCGATGAACCTGAAGCAACACAACTGCCAGTGGAATTTTCCAGTGACACCGGTGACAACGGCCTGGCCCGACTGGTCCGACTGCCGACTGGTCCGACTGCCGCCATCCACGCGGCTCTATGAGATAGCATCCTTATGCAATGACCCTAATATCAATGACCGCAGCTACTCGACTTCGAGCAACAGCTACTTGTGCGAGGTGGTGTGTACATTATAAAAGGTACTCTATGCACAATACCAACATGCGCGCACACACGTGTGTGCCTACTCATAGACATTGTCATTCTTCTTCCTATTCACCCTTTTCGGCCTCGACGGAACCACGGTATTACTACTGGCGGTCAGTTTGCCTAATATGTTGACTGCCATTGTCTAAAAAAGCCGGGGGTGATGTTTATTTATTCGTCCTTTTTACATCAATGCTTTTTACAGATCGGAACTTAGCAAACAGATTCCTGCTGGGGGCCCACCAGGGTGAGCGCCTGCCGGGATTGTGTTTTCCGCAAGCTAGTTGGTGTAAAAACAACATATCTTCCTTCACGAAGGCGCCACATGTTAAAGTGGTGTGGTTGCTCGCTTATGGGTCGACATGAGCCAAGGATGGCGGGCTGCTATTCGAGCATTGATTCTGTTTTGTGGATGCACTTGAAGGCAAGTGTTAACGAAGTCCTTGCACGGGATGGATATTCTCGACCAGCACCGATCAGAAAAGTTGATGCCGTGTCGTAGACACTCTCCGTACGGATAGAACGGCGCGTAGCCGGCCAATAAACAGTACAGGACAATCCCCAGCGCCCATACGTCGATTTTATAATCGTAGTCGTGCCCTTTCATTACTTCAGGAGCAATGTATCCGAAACTACCCCGAAGACCTGTATTTTTTACGCAGGTCTTAGGAGAAGCAATTTTCATCGACAAGCCAAAATCCGTCACTTTAACCAAAACTCGATCCCAATCTTGAATCGGCTGAAACGCGTTACGATAGAGAAAGTTGTCACGGTCGAAAGGCATATCCGACGAGCATCCAACTCGGTCGAAAAGCAGAATATTATCAGGCTTAATGTCACAATGCACGACACCCCGAGAATGTAAATAGCTCAATCCATTCACTAACTGCATCGTGATAATCTTAGCCTCTCTTTCTGACAAACGTGATCCTTCAGTGTACTGACTCAAAGTTCCAAACTCCGCCATTGGCAAAAATGTTATCTACGAATTAGATGTGACAACGGCAGATAGTCACGACAACGGCAGATAGTCACCAAGGACCGACAGCCACAAAGGACCGACAGGGTCGGACAAGTCGTTGCAGCTGTCGTGACAGTTGTCCTGGAGTACCTGGAGGGCGTGTTACCAGGGGTTACCAGGCAGTAACAAGGAGGAACCGCCAGGAGGAGGACACGCCGGGAATCGGGAGCGGACTTACTAGGTCATTCTCGGCATCAATAGTAGTTATTGGTTTAAGTACGTTCTCATGTTTGAGGGATCTGAGAAGATCCGACTCTTGCATGACGGACTCTAGTTCTTCCTTCTCACACCGTTCTTTGTGAACCACCTTGATAGCCACCCTTCGCTCCGGAAAGGACTTGGTCTGGCCGATACACCCGACCACTGTGCTGGTCAGTGACGCATGGAGGACGGCGAACACCGTAAACTTCTCCTCTTCGTCATGGCAGGTACAGCCGCAAGACAACTCGGATGCGGACGTCAGCGTAAGCAAACCTTCAGCTCCGCCATTCAGCTCCACACGCGCTTTTCTTTCACGGGTTTGCCCCACCAGCTTTTCCTCCAACGAGCTTCCCTCCCTCAGGCCTTGTTTCCCGGTTTCGCCTTCGGTCGCGCCATTTGCGGTTGTCGAGTCGTCAACTGAGCACCCTACATACTCCACTGCCTGGTGGTGCAACCCGACCGCCTCCTGCCCATCCGGGGGGTCGAATTCTTCGCCTTCTGCGTGGAAGCTTTCGCCATCCGAGTGGAAGCTTTCAAAGTCCTTACCCAGTATCTCCTCCATCACCGAACAAGAGGACAGGTAATCACAAGGGGAGAGATAGTCACAACAGTCATTGTGCTCGGACTCTGCGCAAAACGAGTCTGCATCCACACCACACGAGTCTGCCAAACTTTTCGAACAGCTTTTCTGCGACCGAACATGTTCCTCCAAGCAGTGTGCCAAATCATTTTTCTCGAGCAGCTGATCCGGATGCAAGCTGGCGCCACTACTCGCCCACTCATCGGCATTACCTTCGTTTAGTGGAGGGGTATCTCCTCCAGTGCCTCGGAGACAGCACGATAGCTCGCTCGGTTCTTCCCGGTTGGTCATTCCAATGGATCTCGTTGTTCCAGACCAAGTTGTCCTGGAATTGACCGTCCCCAAACCAGATCTTCCTTTTCCCAGGTCCCTTTGAAGGCGGGCCTGTTTACAGACGAAAGGTGACACAGTCAGGAGGTTGTTATAGACGAGGCAAGGGCAGTTGGTTGGTCGGCTACATCGCATTTCAGAGAGCAAAAAAGTGGGTGACATTGTGTTCACGTACTTCGTGTGGACCCACCGGGTGTAGAGGCACATGGGAAGTACATCGTATCAATGTGTTTAAAATTAACTGAAGTGCCTGAGCAGAAGGCGCCGTGATGGAAGGTAAAAGGATTGTCTGTTTGGCCTAAGAGAGAGTTTGTTTTTAGTGTATCAAAGGTGGACGTCCGACGATGGGCACTCAGGTTTAAAGGCTGCGACAGCCGTGGCGGATTTACTGCCCGAGTCGGTGAAGGAGGACTTACAAAACGTGGACGTGTCAGGTGCGATAAAACACGTACTCGGAGGCGAAGTTTTATCTAAGTTTTGGCGACAGGCGGGGTTGCAGCACATCGTGCCTGCAAAAGCGCGAATGTTCCAGGTGCAATGCGTGGATGGGGTGTTTACCCTCAGTTGGCAGGGAAAGAGGAAGAGTGGATCAAGTGTGCGTCTAGCGGATGTAACAAGTGTAATTCCCGGTAGTGATTCGCTGTTCTTGAAGAAACGCAAGGCACAGGCGCCCGTCTCCATCGAGCTTGTAGTCGTCTCCATCCCGGTCCGCAAACGGTTACGGCTTAAGGCCAACACAAGTCTTCCGGACAAGCCGAATGGCCGTCGCGGCTCGGATGCCCGCCGTGGCTCCGTAGGCGACGGAAGACGACGACGAGGCAGCACAGTACAGGTTAGAGCGACGCTGGAGACGAGTTACCTCCGAGTTGTGTGTCCTTCGGCAGAGAGTTGGCGCCTCTGGTTTGTCGGGCTGTTAGCTTTGGTTCAGAGGACACGGGAAATTAGTCAGGCAAGCCGGGTCTGTAAGAGCATCCAGAACGTGTGGCGCCAGACAGTGAACGAGGAGACTCAGTTGGCTACCTTCGAGGGTATGGTGGCGTTGCTGAAGGATATGAACTTCAAATGCGATGTGCGCTATCTCATCCTGTTAGTTCGCGATCGCACCAGAATCGAGTACCTGGAGTTCGAGAAAGTCCTCGGACGACTACTCACGCAATCAGACCTGATGGATATGTTCTATAAAATCACCGGCAACCGAGATAGCATGACGCGAGACGAACTAGTGACCTTCCTCCAAGATGTACAACTTGCCGCCGATCGGGAAGAACTACTCGAAACCTACCTGAACTCGGTACCCCATGAACTCGCGATCGAGTCCCTCACCCGCCCAACCACACCGCCCTCGCCTGGCAGATCCCCCAGGCTCGCTCCCGCCGAACCCCACGCGGAGTGCCTCACCGACATCGGCTTCAACGTCGCCATGATGAGCCCCTCCAACTCCATCTGCAACCCTGCCGCCGTCCGTAAAACAGCCGCCGCCATGCTAAGCCCCCTCGCCCATTACTTCATCAAAACCTACCACAACCCCTGCTTCTTGCGTACGCCACACACCATTGACCCACATTCGACACACCGCCGCCGGACACCTTCGACTGGCATACAGAAGTTTCATAGATCCGTGGTGTCTGGGGAGCCCTATTTCCCGGCTGCAGCGGGTGCTACAGGAGAACTACCGTTGTCTGGAATTTGACGTGTTCGAATCCATGGATGGCGAGTGTGTGGTACCGTGTGGGTCTGCTCCCCCGCGTTATGTATCCTTCATGCGTGTGTTGCGCGTGTGTAAGGAGGAGGCATTTAAGACGAATCCGTATCCGTTGTTGATTTTTCTGTCGATAGATTGCACGCTGGCCCTGTGCGCGGAATTGGGTCAACAGATCAAGAGTACGCTAGGGAAGCAGTTAATATTACTATCAGATCTGGCAGCGTTTCCTGGGGACAAGAGCGAAGGAAAGATAGACTGGGATCTACAACCGGCGAATTTGATGAACCACATGGTCATAGGTGCAAAACGTCACTACTTACCCATGAAAGATGACGAAAGCTTCCTATCAGACGTGAGATTACGGCATCTAGAGGTCCAATATGCCGACCATTCGCCGTACGATGAAGTTTGTATGGTGCCACCCCAAGACAAAAACAGCCCTGCACCGCTTGCGTCGTTTGCCAGCGACTTGTCATCGCACCGTTCATTGCGACATACCGGACGTCTCGACCGGTCCAAGGGCTTATTGGCACTCGAACTCAAGGCCTACGCTGACACCATCAGCCTCATCGATAACGGCACCCTCCTCTCAGACTGTCCACACCGTACCGTCATTAACACCACATCCGCTCAACCGCTCAATGACGTAGACTACAAAACTCAACTAGCTCGCGTTAGCCCCTGCGCTCTCCTGTCCACACTTACCACGCCACCCAACGCCATTCAGTACTGGCGCAAAGGCATCCAAATGGTCTCCTGTACGCCCGCCTGCCCGCCCGTCTGCCCGCCTGCCCGCCCGTCTGCCCGCCCGCCTTCCGTCCCGTATCTCTACCTCCCATCATGTCTCTATCTCCCATCATGTCTCTGACTGTGTGTAACTGTGACTGTGTCTAATGGTGCTTCGTTGCAGATTTTGAGTCGCCTGGAATCGGTGAGTGGATCCAGCGGGCGAGATTTCTTGAGAATGGTAGGTGTGGTTACATCTTGAAGCCGGCGTATCTCCGTGGTCTGGATGCGCCATCGGGGAGTGGTCCTCGCGAGTTGAGTTTGAAGGTGCTTGGCGGGCGGCAATTATTTGTTCCGTATGTGGGCCGTCGTTCGTTTTCTGTGCGTGTTAGTCTCTTCGATGACGATCGGGAGACTCAGGTGCATAGCACTTCGGCAGTGGAATCATCGGGACTTGATCCGCGTTGGAATGAGAGGTTAGTTTTCGAGATTAAACAACCATCGTTCGCTCTTGTCGTTTTCGAAGTGAGTGCCGCAGATGAGGTGGTGTGCGGCTTCGCCGTTCCTGCAGCATGCATTCAACAGGGCATCCGCTGGGTCCCGCTCTGGGACCTGGGAGGGCACATCATCCCCTGGGCCGGACTTATCGTTCACTCCGAATCCAAACTCCTACGCCAGCTACCACTTGAAAACCCACCAGAACTCCAAAGAAGAAATTCTCTCAAACCACCCAAACACAGAAGACTTAGCGTTGCGCCACAACCTGTTTTAAATAGAAGGGCGTCATTAACAAAAATAGTGGACTAACACTTCTATGCGCGTATATCAAACCTCCCTCGCTGCCAATTCCAGATCACATGTACCTTCTTATCAGAGGACGCAGTGAGTACCCACAGCGAAACGCGACGCTGGGACACCTTGTATGGCGCGAGCTACCTTGTATGGCGCGAGCTACCTTGTTGGGCGCGAGCTACCTTGTTGGGCGCGAGCTATGTTGGGCGCGAGCTACGTTAGGCGCGAGCTACGTTAGGCGCGACATCAAATTACGTCGAGTGTGCCACCGACCGTTCGCGTGTGTGTGATACCGTTCACACATGTGTCACGGCATGACACGGCAAGGGCAATGGCGGGGTAGTATGACGCGTTCGGGTTGTAGGTGTTTCAAGACAAAGCAATGCAAGTTTTGGCTGGAAGGGCGCTGTACGCGAGGGGAGAGTTGTACGTATGCCCACACAGACCAGGAACTGCGCCCTGCGCCGAACTTGAAGAAGACGAAGATGTGTGCGCGGTGGAGGCAAGGCCAGTGTGCCCTCAGGGCGGACGAGTGTAGTTACGCGCATGGTGTCGAGGACCTACGCGCACAGAGCGGACGCAAGAGCTCCTGCGCTACGGAGTCGACCGACTTAATGGTTTCCGATGTGATGATGTCCGACGTCATCATGTCTGACGTCATGATGTCTGACGTGATGCTGTCCGGCGAGACGGTGCTGGATATTCCGTCGCCGCTTGGCAGTGCACATGAACACCTCGTCAAAACGCTCAGCATGAGTGAGCTCAGTCAAGGGCTCTCCAGCACGGCATACCTAGAGTGACACACACGACTAGACATGTATAGATGTTTTTTTGATCCAAAGAACTAACTCCCTACCTATCATGGACCGTCTCAAAGACTGGTACCACAACGGATGGCCCCATAACAGGTGGCCACATAACGACGGGTGGTTCCACAGTGGGTGGTTCCATAAAGAGAGGTCCGAAAAGGCTCTGAGCAGAAGCAGCAACAAGCCCCCGGTCCCGCGAGCACACCCTTTAAGTCCGGAAGAGCCCTGGTTGCGGCACGCCGAAGAGAGCAGTCTAGACACCGACGGGAACGAAACCCTGGATGTCAGCGCCTTTGTGGAATTGCTACAAAACCACCGGCACGAGATCAAGTACTTGGCTCGCGCCAAAATCCGGATGTTCGCCAACGAATCGCCCGTAAACGAAAAAAAGTGGATGGACCACCTCCGCTGCATTGAGTCCTTCGAACAGACCCCCGAACTCGTCCACAGCTACATCCAACGGGTCTTCGAACTCCGCTCCTATTTTTCCTGTGACCTCGTCAACGCCGTCGTCCTCCTCGTCGGCCTCGTGCCCCACGAATGGACCGCCAACGCTGAAATGGTCACCGACCAAGAATCCGGCCTGCCCGGCATACTCTACGCACGCGCCACACTCTCTAGCACCATCTGGAACGTACTCGCCTATTATATGTACGTCATCTTCAACCCCAACCTAATCGTAGACACCTACTACTGGATTTTGGGTAAGCGCGCGCGAATTCGCGCACACACACACGTGTGCGCAACTTCAATATCCTCGCTGGTTTTAGGCGACGAGTCCAAAGCTATGAGCCAAATGCGCCACTTAGCGGATTTAAATCACGACGACCCTTATTTGGTCTTCTACGTGAAACCCTTCCAGTCGTTCTCCTCCTCCTCGTCCATAATTATGCTTTAAGTGTGGCCCCAACGATGGGAAGGACGTTTGTGTGCGGCGCTTATTATGCATGTTTATTTGTCCAACATAAATTTTTCATTACGATGTCAACCTACAAGATTATCGCCCCTGGTCGCGTGAACTTGATTGGAGAGCATGTGGACCATCAGAACTACCCGGTGTTTCCTTGTGCGATTGAGCAGTCGATTGAAGTTGACGTGGTGAAGCATCCGTACGTGGAGGGGAAGGAGCCTGCTTTGGCAATTTTTCATTCGAACCCCGATTTCGACAACATTACTTTCCAGAAGCGTGAAGACATAAAGATGGTAGAGGGCAAACACCAGTGGTACAACTACATAATTGCAAGTTACTTTGGCATATGTGAGTATCTTTATAACGGTCATTCTATCGAGAAGGGTCAGACGATAAAGCGTTTCGAGGGTTTACCTAAGGAGTACTATGAGAAAATTGACCCGATCAGTCCGCTGAATTTCGCCTACAAGGTGACGGTGGGTGGTCAAGGGGTGCCGGTGGCTGCGGGTTTGAGCAGTTCGTCTGCCTTAACTTGCGCCGTGTCGCTTGCTTGGGATACTGGCCTGAGCCCCGCCATATTGGCGACTGTAAGTGCCCATGGTGAGGGTTACTCTGGCACTGCTGGTGGCGGAATGGACCAGGCGGCGATTCTCCTAAGTGAGAGCGGGAAGGCGCTGAAGATCGATTTTCATCCGTTGGAGGTTGAGAGTGTCAACTTGCCGAAGGAGATTTCTATTGTGGTGGCGAATACTGGCCGTGTGGCTTCGAAGGCAGTGGGCTACGCTAAGATGTACAACAAGCGTGTATTCGAACTCAAGTGCGCGTGCTATTTGATACTGAAGAAGCACGGCATTGAACTGACACATGTTCAGCTTATTCAAAACGGTCTGCGTGACGTACTTCGAATGATCAAGATTTCGGAACAGGACTTCCTCAATAAGGAGATGAAGGAATGCCTGAAGGCTGATTTCTATACCCGCGCTGACCTTGAGAAGCTGGTTCCTGCTGACGTCCGAGAATTCCTACTCGAGAAGAGGGTGGGACAGAAGGTCTGGGAGGTAAACGATGATTTCCATCTGCTAGAAAGAGTTCGACACGTTCTTACCGAAAACGAACGTGTGCTGGAGTTCGTTAAAATATGCAAAGAGCTGAATCACGACCAAGACACACCTCCAGCAGTACTCAAACGTCTCGGGCAGCTCCTGGATGGCTCTTTCGCCTCTCTCGACGGCGACTTCGACTGCGGCTGCACCGAACTTACTCAACTGGTTAACATTTGCAGAAATGCTGGTGCACTAGGAAGCAGACTTACTGGAGCCGGTTGGGGTGGCTGCACTGTCTCCATTGTCGAGACGCCGAAGCTGCAGGACTTCCTAAAGAAGGTTGAACAGGACTACTACAAACCAATGATCTCAGGAGAGAAAAAATACGACGTTCCTGAACAATTCATTGAAATGGCTAAGAAGGATATTAAGAGCGTATTGTTCGCCACCAAACCCAGTATGAGCGCCCGTAAAGTGTAGCCAATTTTTATTCTTATTTTTTCTCATCTAAGAATGCTAATTTTTTGTCTGTTGTATTTTTACTAATCAATATTATAATTTCATGAACGGATAATGACTCTGACAAAAACTTGCAGCGCTATCATACCGAAACAGAGCGGCCAAAAATACCGAGAAGCTCTCGTAAGTACACCACAGCTATGGGGGGTGGTACACGGTGGGGGTTGGTACACCATCGAACTGATTCGGGGCAGCATTTGGTACGTGTGCAGAATCTTGGTAATGTTGGAGGTTTCCAAGCCTTGTTGAACGAGAACGTTGAGGAGGCATTGGAGTCGCGGGACGCAGATGGACGTGGCGTCTTGCATTGGTGTGCAGAGTTGAACAGACCCGAGGAGCTGCTGCTGTGCGTAGCAGCTGGCATGCCGGCTGACGAAGCCGATGAAGACGGCTGGACTCCACTTCACGTCGGCACCGCCCACAATCATTCTGCCTGCGTGGAGTTATTGCTGAAACACGGCTCCGACCCACTGAAGAAGGTAGCTGGAAGTTTGAACAACTCGCTGCACATCGCCGCCAGCAGAGGATATGTCGAATGCCTCAGACTCATCCTGCAGGCGATTACCACCCAAGATGTATCCACTCAAGGTGTATCCACTCAAGGTGTACAGGAGGTGAACGGACCAGGACCGGTTGATATCCCGAACGCCTACGGACAGACGCCTCTAATGCGAGCCGTAGTTGCGCAACACTCGGTCGTTGCCAGAATTCTTATTGAAACCGGAGCGAACACGAAGACCAGGCTAGAAAGAACCAACGAATGCTTACTTCATGTTGCTGTTGGCAACGGAGATGTGGAAACCTGCAAAGTGCTCCTTGAAGCCGACCCCACCTTGGCGGACTTGTCCGACAACGTATGTCAACCACCCCCTCCCTCCCTCCCTCCCTTCACTTACTTCTACTAGCGCACTCAACCCGGCCACAGACCCCACTCGATTCGTTTGGTTGTCCCTCCGCACGCACTCACTCAATGAGCTCATATCATATCAGAGATCAATTGCGTGCCGGGATCTTAAAGACGTCACGATTCAGGCCCTGCTGAACGAGTATCTTTGAAATAATACAGCTTGAAACTATGGATGGCAAATAGTTTGACCAAAAAAACAAATGTGGGCGAAGAAGGTCGGTGATTGCCCAACGAAATAATTGACTAACGGGGTGGACGGGCTCCGGACCAGGCAGGCAGGCAGGTACTACCACAAAAAGGGAAACAAGAAGGGTGATATTAGGCGCCGATTAAAAGCGCCGATTAAAAGCGCCGATTAAAAGCGACAAACAGAAAAGACAGGGACTGTCCTTACCGCAGTTCGGAGGCAGTTGGATCGGTGGCCAGCAGCCCGTCCACCAGGCCGTCCTGGCCGGTGATTTGGTCCGTAGTTTGTTCCTGGCCGGTAAGCGTATCTTGGCCTGAGACTTGTTCTTGACCAGACTCCAAGGCGAGAGCTTTGTATTTTTCTTTTTCTTCGGAAGACAGAAGCGCCCAGGAGGCGCTGAGTTCCTGGAGTGTCATATGGTCTTCCGTTTCTTGTCGTCGAACCTTGCAGAAGAATTGATACCCATTCAGTCTTCGCTTCTTGGGCGTAGTTGGCGAAGCGGTCGACAACTTGATGCCAGGCCGCTTCCGCTGGCATACCTTGACAACGTCCGCCGATACCAGCGGCGCAATCATGTCCCGCACACGCGCCAAACAATGCATCTGCTCACTCATCATCACATACAGGGAAGTACAAACCAACTCCAAATTTCCCGAAGGCTGCGGTATAGTTGTCTCTTCGCCACATAAAGGTATAGACAACTCCTCACCACTGGCACCGGCAGCCGGGCTGGCGGCGGGGCTAACAGCGGAGCCGGCAGCAGGTCTGTTCTCTTGCTTACCACTTTCGCCATGACCACTTTCGCCATGACCACTTTCGCCATGACCACTTTCGCCATGACCACTTTCGCCATGACCACTTTCGCCATGACCACTTTCGCCATGACTTGCATCAGCCTTTGTTGAGTCCTCGGTTTTCTTCAATTTTTCCTGAGCCGCACCTCCTGTTTTATCGAATCCTTCGTCCTTCTTGGATCTTTTCTTCTTTTTCTTCTTCTCCTCCGGTTCGGGCTTCGGATTCACCAGAGCGGGCGAGCCTAATATGGCATCTGCAATCGCTCCCGCTTGTTCCTGATATTTGGAGAGATCACCGACCAGGTCTGGGTTGGCGTTAGCCGGCTTGCCTTCCACTAGCTTGCCCTCGGCCAACGAAGCTTCAGCCATTTCAAGCTTTCGCGCAAGCCTCTTCTCTCTCTTCTCCTTCTTGTTATCCCCCATCTCCTTTTTGTCCCCCATCCACTATTAAAATAACCGACGACACCGGGGGACCGTCGATAACCCGTATCCCGACGGCACCGGGGGAGATAGGCGGGGGGG